TTCGTATCTGTGAAAACATTGTTTGTCACATATAGAATTTATAGCAGTAATGTTTTAGCAATAGCTTCTGAAAAATTTAGGTACCATTGCTAAATGTTATTCATTGCATGATCTAACACGTGATTGATCTTATATAGATAGGCGCTTTAGAGAAACTTTCTTTTTAAAGTTCACAAACAATACAGATATATATTCTGTTTCTGTCATCTAAACTGATTAAGTAATTACATATGCAATATCACAACAGTTGCTAATCATTTATCTGTTTTAGTTAATTTTTTACACTTAGAAAATTTTAGCTATTATTGCAAGATCATTTTTTTGAGTGAAATAAACAGAGCATTAACTGATTCGCCTTTCTTCCTTTTGGCGAGGGTTCACGTATCTGTCCAGGAATGAGGATAGCTGTGTTGCAAATAAAAGCGGGCTGACTGCATTCTTGGGAAAATATAGTTTAGAACTTTCGTCTAAAACAAAAGTTTCTTTGGAAATAATCCCCGGTAGCATTTTACCCTCTCCAATAGGTGGTCTATTCATCATTAGAAAGCTAAATAATTTCGTTTTTCATTACCAAATATTTGGTAGTGGGAGCTAAATCATTTCGTTTTTCATTACCAAATATTTGGTAATGGGAGCTAAATAATTTCGTTTTTTATTACCAAATATTTGGTAGTGGGAGCTAAATAAATTCGTTTTTCATTACCAAATATTTGGTAATGGGAGCTAAATAATTTTGTTTCTCATTACCAAATATTTGGTAATGGGAGCTAAATAATTTCGTTTTTCATTACCAAATATTTGGTAATGGGAGCTAAATCATTTCGTTTTTTATTACCAAATATTTGGTAATGGGAACAAAATTATTTCGTCCTGATTATCAAATATTTGGTAGTGGGAACTAAATCATTTCGTCCTGATTACCAAATATTTGGTAGTGAGAACTAAATCATTTCGTCCTAATTACCAAATATTTGGTCTAGTAATTTGGGAACGCTTCTCCAGTGCAGTATCCAGCAAAATGGCGGCCACTGGATACTGCACTGAGTGAGACGAAATGGGAACGCAGCCATAGTTTGATAGCTTGATACCGAAGGTTATTTTGACGGTTATTTAAAATAAAAAAAATTTATCTAAATATTTTGATTTCCTAATTATTAAATTACTATAATAAGTACGCGCGCGCAGCGCGCGCCTGTATTGTTCTAGTCTAAATATAAAAAATGTAGTAGCACATTATAAAGAAGATAAAAAGTCCGCCTAATAAGATAACTTATACGTGAATTATAGTATAAGATATATTTGTGTGTGTTTAAAAGAAAAAAAAAAAAACTAATATATAATCTATAAATTTTTTTTGCTCATTATACATATTAATTTTATAATTAAGATATTGTTATTTTAACTGTATTTTTAACAAATTTAAATTATATAAAAAATACTATTATTTTAATTATCTTATTTTGTACAATATAGAAATGTTTGATATTATATTCTTCCAATTTGGTGCCATTTCTAATCTCTTACTGCGATAATTTTTTTTTTAATTATATGGAAATTGTAATTAAGTTTTGTAAAGTAAAATGTATAGATAAATTTATGTGAAAATACAACTGTCTTTAAAAAATTATCTATTATTTACTAATCTATTTTTATATTTGTAAAGGCTACAGACTGCTGAATGGCGAGTTCAAGAAGGATCGGGACATTACTTTCAAGGGTACTTGTGTCTTCGCAGAAAATTTCAGGCTGTACTTTCTCAATAACATAGCTTTTATCTGTAATTAAGCCATTCTCATTATCGGTCAAATTCGCGATCCTTTGTCGAAGGGAAGAAAAGTTAATTTTTCAATACTAAGTTTATTATCCTAGTTAAATCGTTTTAGATCTGTGCTGTCAGCTATTTGCAACTTTCGGCTGGATTTCTCGATGCACGCCTACTGCTCCCCCTCCTTCTGCTCGCGCGTTGACAACGCGCCGCCGGACACTCGTAACTAAGGAGCGCGACGCTTTTATTTTAATTTTTATATTAC